GGGGGGGGTCCTTATTTTAGTTATAGTACAATATACCCCCAAACCCTATTCAAATTACTAAGGCCCCTTAGACCCTAAATCCTGAAAGTAGCCCTTAAAGAACCCTTTAAGGAACCCTTTAAAGGAGCCCCCAAGGAACCCTATTCTCATTACTAAGGCCCCTATAACGGGTTCAGGGTTTTGGGGGTTTGATAGCAGTCCTACAAGGGTTCTATAGGCTTTCAGGTTCTCGGTGGTTCGGGCTCAGGGAGCTTAGGGCCAAGGCTTGAAGCCCCGAGCGAGAGGGCTTTGGGCTTCTTAGGGCCTCGGGGTGCGAGGTTTGGAGTCTCTCACGCCTTTTCCGCCTGGATCTTGCACCTGTCAGAGCCCTAACACCACCCTGTCAAACTCCATAAACCCATACAAGAAACATACTGAAAGCCACAAAAACCCCATTAAAACAATATAAAGGCCTATAAACCCCTCATGCTGGAGGATCCATGGGTAGTTCTAGGTCCAGGTGGGGTTATAAGTTATAAGTAAGGTAACTCTACTTATGACCCATTCTGGGGGGACTTATCACCCCACTGAAAACTACCCTAAACCCTAAACCCTATACACCCCTTAAAGAAACTGTTAAAGAAACCCTTAAAGGAACCCTTGAAGGAACCCTTGAAGGAGCCCTTAACGGAACCTCTAGGCCGAGGCTCTACGATGCTGGCAATGATGTCATCTGCGAGCGCCCGGATCTCAGGCGTGGCCGCGAGCTCCTGGTTTAGGGTTTAGGGTTTAGGGTTTAGGGTTTAGTGAAAAAAAGTGCAGCCGCTTCAAAAGGAAGAGGGATATGGGGCTCAATGCTTCGATATGGGGACTTTGGGTGAAGATCTGGTGTTTGGTTTAGGGTCAGGATATGAGGCTGCGCGTCTGCAGTCACGGACGTGATCATAGTCAGAGTCCTAGGAATACATGCCGGGTGTAATTACGGAAGAAACCTGTCAAAAGCTTTGTCAGCCTATGACCAGCATAAACAATTTCTTGAAAAAACACTCTTAACCCTAAACCTCTTAGATCAACGTATAAAAACTGACAAGAACTTCGCTCTCGAAGGCGGGGGTCTTCAGCACTTCTTGTGCGCAGCTTCGTGTAGGTTCCATTTAGGGTTGCCTTCAGTGTTCATTTGGGGGCTAATTTTAAGGGCCTGGGGTTTCTTTTGCCGGTGTAGCGAGCCTTTCTCACTGCAAGATTCCTAAACCCTAAACCCTAAACCGTTGTGGGTCTTGGGGTGTCGGCGTTTGCGTTTCGCAGTTCGGGCCTGGGCGCCGGGCTTTGCGCTTTAGGGCTCACTTAAGGGCCAGGGTTTAGGGTTTAGGG